TATTGCCGGAGCTCTGTGACGGTCGATGGCGGTTCCAGTTCAGCGGTAACTTTTTTGGATCTGTTCCTTTTCCCTTGCTAGTCATTCGATGTCCCAGGTCAGCCTCAGGCTTGCTTCCTTTAGACGCCGGAACACTTCTCTAAGGATTCTCTTGTGTTCTTCCAGCGTGCGACCGATCACTATTATGTCATCCTGGTAAGCGAATGCGTGAGGTGACATCTCGGGGTCTATTACTTGGTCCAGAACCCGCTGAAACGTTGCCGACGCCGAGTGGAGTCCGAACGGCATTACCCTCCACTAAAATATACCTTTTCCTGGTACCGTGAATGCCGTGCATTGCCTACTATTTTTTTCCAGTGGGATCTGCCAGTATCCATCCTTCAGGTCCAAACTGCTGATGTACCGCACTTCCCTTATTTGATCTAGGATGTAGCTTATGCGGGGCATTGGGTAGGCATCCTTCACTGACTTCGCGTTGATCTGTCTGAAGTCGACACACAGTCTCCACTTGCCCGTCTTCTTTTTTCACCATCACGATGGGGGAGCTGTATGGGCTCTTTGAGTGCTCTATGAACCGCATTTTGAGAAGCTCGTCCACCTTTGCGGTGACTTCCCCTTGTATTTTTGAGTTCTTGGGGTAGTATCTCTGCTTGATAGGTGCTCTGCCATATTCGATGTTCCCGTCATTGTGCTGAAGTCGGCCAGCTCTGCTTCTATTAGCGATGTAGTATCGTCCAACTTGTTTACTTGTTGAACGACTGCTACCGATAGCTTTTCCTCGAGCCATCCATTGTGTCGGCTCCTGGCTGGTATTATTATCTCGTGTTCAGCACACCTTATCTCGGTTCCTACTTGTTTCAGGAAGTTCCATCCCAACACCAACGGATCCACTACTCCGGGTAAAATCAACAGGCTGCGCATTAATTCTGCCGCATCTTTCGTCTGCCAACCTAACTTGCCGTCTCGTCCTGGTAATCCTTCCTAGAGTAGCAATATTGTCCGCCATTTTTTCGCTAACGAAGCTTGCCCTTTCTCCGGTGTCGATTGTGGCTTTGTAGCTGTTCCCACCAATCATCACAGTTGCGGACAACTGCTGCTCCTCCTCGATTAGTATTGTGCGATCCCCGCTCGCCTCTCTGCGGCTGAGACTACTGGCCATTTCCCGATCGTTGGCAGCAATCGACGCTCCTGACACCAACCTCTTGCCCAGTGCCCGTTCCCACCACATTTCCGACAGGCCTCCTGCGGGTCTGTGACATGGGTGGCATCTTGTGGCCTCTGTGTGTTGCTTGGCGGCCTCCACTAGGTATTGTTTGGCTGTCTCTATTGCTGTGGGGTGGTGTCCATCGGCCTCCGCGTGGTACGTCTGTTGCCTGCTGCCGTCTGGCTTGGTTTGGTGGTGACCATTGGTCATTTCCCCATGTCTTCTGGTTGTCTGTCTCTTCACGCCTGTGTGCCGCTCCGCTGTCGAGATGTGGCACTTCTTCTCCCGGTCCAAAGTGCACGGCAGAGTCTAAAGTCCGATTTAGTTCCGTTATCCCCCTTTGCACACGGCACTCTTGCTCTGCCCGCCAAGTCTCCACTCTCTCATTCTCCGCTCCTTGGTCTCCAAATTCTCTAATACTTCATTTTTGGTCTCAAAATTCTCTTATTCTCCAACCTTGGTCTCCAAACTCTCTTATTCTCCCACATTGGTCTTCAAACTCAATTATTCTCAATTCGCTGCGTATCTGGTAAGCTTGTGGTCTTTTGCACACACTAGAGCCCATAAATTCAAGCCTTAAGTCTAGTGAGGATCACGCAGCCTACATGTCTTTAAAGGAAAACAAAATAACGAGGCTGTTGAACTATGAAGAGGTTCAAAAAGCAAGGCTTTCGTTCTCCTTTCAACGCTGCGCATGTCTTAAAAATATTAGAAAATGAGTTGACCGTCCTCAAAAAATCCTTAGATGATTCCCTAATCCATGCAGTAGAGCCACCACTTCAAATCCGCCAAGCTCTATTCCAATTTGTTAAAAAAAATATTGATGAATGGCCCTATACGAAAAGGGCATATGCAATTGTTGACCTTCGACAATATTTTGGTTTAAAGCATTCGGGTGAAAATGTAGATCCCCTATAAAACTAGAAGGTACAAATTTGAAAAACATAAATAACATTTCTTCAATTTCAACATAATGATTCTAATATGAAAAGTTTAAAACCCACATTTTTATGTGTTTCCGCAACACCGACAGAATCTGACCATTTCTTCACCAAATATAATAATAATTTTTGTATTTGCACAAATAAAGAACAAGTGACACTCCAAATAAAAAATTGTATGGGATGTCCGCATTTTCACAAATGAAAATTCAAATGAAAATTTTTCGAAGTCCCACGGGATTTCACTTGTTCCTTATACTCATTTTTCGAATGGCCTGTTACGTGCCGGTGGCACGTCCCAAGTGAAATCACTTGTGAAAATCACAATATTTGCAATGAGTTTTCACTTATGAAAGTATAGAATTTAAAATACATACATCTTTATTTACTTTTAAATTCATTTAAAATCAATAGTGTTATTTAGGTTTTCTGTTAAAGGACAATTATTGTTGGTAAGCCTAGTTTTATGATACGTTAATTTGCTCTTTACATTGGGCATCGCCTTCCTTAAACCTTTGTCCGGGTCCTCCAAATACTTGGCCAACGCTCCTGAAAAAATTTATGGCCATATGTTTAAAAAAAGGGTTTTATTTGATTATTTGCTTCCTTTTCAATAACTCAAACAGAATAAGCCAAGTGTTCCTCTCACCCTTTACTTGATTTCTTTTGTTTTCTCTTCGCTGTTGGCGCGTGCCACTGCACCCATGCCCTTTCTAAAGCGAAAAATAAATTTAAATAATTTTTACTTCTTAAGTAAAATATACAATATGAATTTTTTAAAAATGGTGATATTAAAATGTTTTAAATTTTTAACGGACTAAGTTTCTATAACCTTACTAAAAAAGTATATTGTAATATTAATGTATAATATCTAGGAATAACATTATAAGTAAATTCAATTTACTTAATTTTACTATAATCAAATAATTTATTTTTATAAAACAATATTAGTTTTTCTTTCAATATACAATAATGCTCCTAAAATATTAGGGCACTCACATGTCACTGTGTAACGAACATTAAGTTTACGCGCGGCGTGCTGACGTTTCTCTGCTTTGCAATGAGATCCTCTGCCGCATCAACAAAAAAGTGCGCCGAAGCTGAGAAAAAAATGACCCAAAGACCCATCTACGTTATACTCGAGCGAGCAGAGGATGGGCAGAACACTTCCCTATGCTCACTTAATAGGCCGCTGCCGACCGCTGATCTATAAAGAGACTCCATTTGCTCTGCCCGAACCTCTGCCCAACCATTTCAAGCGAAGCAACAGCAATAGGGGTGAGGATCAATAACGAAAGGAAAACAGTGAGTAAGAGCGGTGCAGATATATTTCCCATAAAACTCACCGCGGGAACGAATTACAAGGTCCCATCGAACATTTTAAAAACTAGGGAAACTATCTGTTTTCGCACCATTGGCAGTCTTAAAAGAGAGCGGCAGACCAAATGGTGTCTCTATATAGATTCTTACTCTATGCTCTCAGCAGAGGTTCGGGCGGAGCTAATGGTGTCTATCTATAGGTTATTACTCTATGAAACTGTGAAGACCATGCCACGCGCTAGAAAAAATTTCTGCTTTGATCAGTACGAAGAGCAGCCTAAAGCGGTCAACGATTCTAGTGAATCTGGTCAAAATTCTATCATTATCGTTATCGCATTATCATTATCAACACTCATATTTGTATTGACGACACAAACAATCCAAATGTTCCAAATGTCACGAAAACTGGAGGGAATGCCAACGAAAGATGCACCTTTCCAACACAAGGGTTCTCACAAAGAGGTGGCAGCACCAGAAAATTCCCTGGACCAAGTTTTCGGCAACTTTTAAAACAAACCTCGTAGTTTACCCATATAATAAAAGTTTACATTACAATTTTACATACAAAATTTATTGAACAATATAAATTGTTTTTTAAATTAATTTCTTACCTCATTTTTATTTATGGTACTTAGTTGACTTAATTACCTGGAAGTTAGTTATAGACACTTACTTTTCACAATTAGTTAAGCTTGGAAATTCAGCTCCCTTGTTCGCGCTGACCACTGTGATTCCGAAAAATAATTTTTGTAGAAGAACATCAACAAAATAGAAAAAGAAATTAAAACAAAATGAATAGGACTGTAACACACGATTGGACTGGAGATTATAGGACAAACACTCTAACCACTCTAATTCCAGTAAAATAGGTAACCTTAAATTTAGAATCGTATTTTAAAAACAACAAAATACATAATAAAAAAAATTAGTTTGGTACGACTTTAATTGTGGTGTAACTATTTTCCGTCCAAAAAAGGAAAAAAAAAGAATAACAAAAAATATGTGATTGTTTCGATTTAAAATATGGTGTCACTATAAAAATGCCGAAAAACCAAAACAAAAAATTTATGAAGAAAATGAAAGATTTTTTACTATATTAACTGTGGAGTCACTATTGATTTGTCCAAGGAATAAATCAGCGAAATACATGCAAGCTTCGAATCCAGTTTTCCGGTATTTTATCTTTAAACAATACATTTTAATTTTTCTATGTTGATTTTATGTTTTTTTTTTGTTTGTATGTTTCACACTACGCATGTGAGGGAAAGGTGCTCAATTTAACGTTATTTCAATGATATTTGACCGAACAAAATTATATTTTAGATGAGTCCTTATAACATAAATGCGATTAAGTCTACTGTAAAGCAGTATCTATGTGTTCCCCTTACTTCCAGTGCGTCGAAAAGTACAATAGCAACACACACACTTTATCTTTAATACTAGCAAGATTATTAAATGCGAATCGAAAAAAATAATCGGTTTAATAATCGCTTTCACCTTTTTGCCAGCGGTCCGGTATCTCTGTCAGCTGAGATTGATAAATTCGGCCATGTTGCATAAACAGGAGCAAATTTTATTTCACGCTTTTACGAAATTATGAAACCCTTAGCATAAACATAGTATATAAAAGACCGCAATTATGGGCAACCAGAACTATTTGGTTTCCCATCACGATAATGAACCAGTTCACGATTTACTCGTTCTTAGTGACCATTTCGGTAAATATTCGATGCGTGTCGTTCCGCACCCACCGTATTTGTCTGGATTGGAATAAACGTTGACATAAGATTGTTTTATCGGAAGGAGACTACTTTAAAGAGAATGAAACTGGTTGAAAGAATAAATTTAAAAATTTCATTTCAGAAATAAATTCACCTTACTGTTCTGTCCACAATAGTATGTTTAAAAACACTTAGAAGTGCAATATTATATCTAACAATTTTTGTTCTAGACCAGCGCTATCTCAACCCTATCTCAGATCGGCTAACAGTTTCACTAGTCGAATTCTTTGTAGTCGGACCGAAGATTCAGCATTCACCCACAATGCATCTAGCATGGTCTCACTGTCAAGCAGTTGGGTTGGTTGAGAAACATACAATATATCAATTGAAGCCATTTAAAAAAGTGTCTGCTTTCATTTTTGGTCTCAAAATTCTCTTATTCTCCAACCTTGGTCTCCAAACTCTCTTATTCTCCCACATTGGTCTTCAAACTCAATTATTCTCAATTCGCTGCGTATCTGGTAAGCTTGTGGTCTTTTGCACACACTAGAGCCCATAAATTCAAGCCTTAAGTCTAGTGAGGATCACGCAGCCTACATGTCTTTAAAGGAAAACAAAATAACGAGGCTGTTGAACTATGAAGAGGTTCAAAAAGCAAGGCTTTCGTTCTCCTTTCAACGCTGCGCATGTCTTAAAAATATTAGAAAATGAGTTGACCGTCCTCAAAAAATCCTTAGATGATTCCCTAATCCATGCAGTAGAGCCACCACTTCAAATCCGCCAAGCTCTATTCCAATTTGTTAAAAAAAATATTGATGAATGGCCCTATACGAAAAGGGCATATGCAATTGTTGACCTTCGACAATATTTTAATTTAAAGCATTCGGGTGAAAATGTAGATCCCCTATAAAACTAGAAGGTACAAATTTGAAAAACATAAATAACATTTCTTCAATTTCAACATAATGATTCTAATATGAAAAGTTTAAAACCCACATTTTTATGTGTTTCCGCAACACCGACAGAATCTGACCATTTCTTCACCAAATATAATAATAATTTTTGTATTTGCACAAATAAAGAACAAGTGACACTCCAAATAAAAAATTGTATGGGATGTCCGCATTTTCACAAATGAAAATTCAAATGAAAATTTTTCGAAGTCCCACGGGATTTCACTTGTTCCTTATACTCATTTTTCGAATGGCCTGTTACGTGCCGGTGGCACGTCCCAAGTGAAATCACTTGTGAAAATCACAATATTTGCAATGAGTTTTCACTTATGAAAGTATAGAATTTAAAATACATACATCTTTATTTACTTTTAAATTCATTTAAAATCAATAGTGTTATTTAGGTTTTCTGTTAAAGGACAATTATTGTTGGTAAGCCTAGTTTTATGATACGTTAATTTGCTCTTTACATTGGGCATCGCCTTCCTTAAACCTTTGTCCGGGTCCTCCAAATACTTGGCCAACGCTCCTGAAAAAATTTATGGCCATATGTTTAAAAAAAGGGTTTTATTTGATTATTTGCTTCCTTTTCAATAACTCAAACAGAATAAGCCAAGTGTTCCTCTCACCCTTTACTTGATTTCTTTTGTTTTCTCTTCGCTGTTGGCGCGTGCCACTGCACCCATGCCCTTTCTAAAGCGAAAAATAAATTTAAATAATTTTTACTTCTTAAGTAAAATATACAATATGAATTTTTTAAAAATGGTGATATTAAAATGTTTTAAATTTTTAACGGACTAAGTTTCTATAACCTTACTAAAAAAGTATATTGTAATATTAATGTATAATATCTAGGCATAACATTATAAGTAAATTCAATTTACTTAATTTTACTATAATCAAATAATTTATTTTTATAAAACAATATTAGTTTTTCTTTCGATATACAATAATGCTCCTAAAATATTAGGGCACTCACATGTCACTGTGTAACGAACATTAAGTTTACGCGCGGCGTGCTGACGTTTCTCTGCTTTGCAATGAGATCCTCTGCCGCATCAACAAAAAAGTGCGCCGAAGCTGAGAAAAAAATGACCCAAAGACCCATCTACGTTATACTCGAGCGAGCAGAGGATGGGCAGAACACTTCCCTATGCTCACTTAATAGGCCGCTGCCGACCGCTGATCTATAAAGAGACTCCATTTGCTCTGCCCGAACCTCTGCCCAACCATTTCAAGCGAAGCAACAGCAATAGGGGTGAGGATCAATAACGAAAGGAAAACAGTGAGTAAGAGCGGTGCAGATATATTTCCCATAAAACTCACCGCGGGAACGAATTACAAGGTCCCATCGAACATTTTAAAAACTAGGGAAACTATCTGTTTTCGCACCATTGGCAGTCTTAAAAGAGAGCGGCAGACCAAATGGTGTCTCTATATAGATTCTTACTCTATGCTCTCAGCAGAGGTTCGGGCGGAGCTAATGGTGTCTATCTATAGGTTATTACTCTATGAAACTGTGAAGACCATGCCACGCGCTAGAAAAAATTTCTGCTTTGATCAGTACGAAGAGCAGCCTAAAGCGGTCAACGATTCTAGTGAATCTGGTCAAAATTCTATCATTATCGTTATCGCATTATCATTATCAACACTCATATTTGTATTGACGACACAAACATTCCAAATGTTCCAAATGTCACGAAAACTGGAGGGAATGCCAACGAAAGATGCACCTTTCCAACACAAGGGTTCTCACAAAGAGGTGGCAGCACCAGAAAATTCCCTGGACCAAGTTTTCGGCAACTTTTAAAACAAACCTCGTAGTTTACCCATATAATAAAAGTTTACATTACAATTTTACATACAAAATTTATTGAACAATATAAATTGTTTTTTAAATTAATTTCTTACCTCATTTTTATTTATGGTACTTAGTTGACTTAATTACCTGGAAGTTAGTTATAGACACTTACTTTTCACAATTAGTTAAGCTTGGAAATTCAGCTCCCTTGTTCGCGCTGACCACTGTGATTCCGAAAAATAATTTTTGTAGAAGAACATCAACAAAATAGAAAAAGAAATTAAAACAAAATGAATAGGACTGTAACACACGATTGGACTGGAGATTATAGGACAAACACTCTAACCACTCTAATTCCAGTAAAATAGGTAACCTTAAATTTAGAATCGTATTTTAAAAACAACAAAATACATAATAAAAAAAATTAGTTTGGTACGACTTTAATTGTGGTGTAACTATTTTCCGTCCAAAAAAGGAAAAAAAAAGAATAACAAAAAATATGTGATTGTTTCGATTTAAAATATGGTGTCACTATAAAAATGCCGAAAAACCAAAACAAAAAATTTATGAAGAAAATGAAAGATTTTTTACTATATTAACTGTGGAGTCACTATTGATTTGTCCAAGGAATAAATCAGCGAAATACATGCAAGCTTCGAATCCAGTTTTCCGGTATTTTATCTTTAAACAATACATTTTAATTTTTCTATGTTGATTTTATGTTTTTTTTTTGTTTGTATGTTTCACACTACGCATGTGAGGGAAAGGTGCTCAATTTAACGTTATTTCAATGATATTTGACCGAACAAAATTAAATTTTAGATGAGTCCTTATAACATAAATGCGATTAAGTCTACTGTAAAGCAGTATCTATGTGTTCCCCTTACTTCCAGTGCGTCGAAAAGTACAATAGCAACACACACACTTTATCTTTAATACTAGCAAGATTATTAAATGCGAATCGAAAAAAATAATCGGTTTAATAATCGCTTTCACCTTTTTGCCAGCGGTCCGGTATCTCTGTCAGCTGAGATTGATAAATTCGGCCATGTTGCATAAACAGGAGCAAATTTTATTTCACGCTTTTACGAAATTATGAAACCCTTAGCATAAACATAGTATATAAAAGACCGCAATTATGGGCAACCAGAACTATTTGGTTTCCCATCACGATAATGAACCAGTTCACGATTTACTCGTTCTTAGTGACCATTTCGGTAAATATTCGATGCGTGTCGTTCCGCACCCACCGTATTTGTCTGGATTGGAATAAACGTTGACATAAGATTGTTTTATCGGAAGGAGACTACTTTAAAGAGAATGAAACTGGTTGAAAGAATAAATTTAAAAATTTCATTTCAGAAATAAATTCACCTTACTGTTCTGTCCACAATAGTATGTTTAAAAACACTTAGAAGTGCAATATTATATCTAACAATTTTTGTTCTAGACCAGCGCTATCTCAACCCTATCTCAGATCGGCTAACAGTTTCACTAGTCGAATTCTTTGTAGTCGGACCGAAGATTCAGCATTCACCCACAATGCATCTAGCATGGTCTCACTGTCAAGCAGTTGGGTTGGTTGAGAAACATACAATATATCAATTGAAGCCATTTAAAAAAGTGTCTGCTTGTGTATAAACAAATTAAGATACAATAATGTTGAACGTGTATTTATTTACGTAAATAAATTAAAGCTTCGTCGCCTTATTCTCCACCTTGGCAGCATCTTTCCAAAACATGCTGCTCAGCCTAAAGCCATGCGCCTTGAGGGAGTGGGAGCCGAATTGGGAGCGAGGTTTTTCTGCTGGTACTGCAAGAAGTCGTTTAACATCATGGTAATGGCTGGTGATCCTGCTTCCCCTTAGCGGGCGTCCTTTTTTCCTTTTTACCTTTTCCATATAGAAGCAAACATACATTGATATTAAAATTATAAAATCTTAAATTATTGGGGAAAGTTTTGTAGGTATATATTTTGTCGGGTACCGCGTCAAGTAGTGGTGGAGTCCAGCGATTCCATAGTGGATCACCTCCAGCACTTCCATTCTTCAGAGGCTTTGCCCTGCTGTGGTATTGCTTCCTGTGGGTCAAGTCGCACAATAGTGGGCAACAGCTTAGATTATGCGTCCTTTTTCATTTGCATCGATCTCCTGCAAGCGTTTTTTTTGTTTTCTCATCATTTTTTATTTTTCGTTTCCACACCTCTTCTGCAGGAACACACCGAATGTATACATTTTTTATACTTGGCTAACGGAGCTCATCGGAATTCACTCAGGGCGGCTAACGGAGTTCATCGGAATTCACTCACGAAAGCTGGAATTGTTTCTGGTATGTATTTCCTTAGCTCATTTAAGTACTGCGGAGAAAAACAGACTTGACCAAAAGCGTTAGCCGCCTATTTGTCTCTCGCGTTCTTCTTTGGTTAACTAGCAGCCTTTGTCGACGTGAGTACTACGCCTATGGGTGAAGAAACACAATACAGGCCGACCCCACACATCACCTAGGACGGCAGTACACCTAGTGGCGAAGCGCACCAGAGAGAGTACGAAGAAAACTACTAGATTTAGTAACGAGTGACAGGCCCATTTGAAAGGAATAGCAAAAACTAACAAAATGTCATACTAAGACCTTAGAAATTTAACTTTGTGTGGGAGAAAAAGCGGTGAAAGTGTAAAATTGAAAATTTAGAAAATTGGAGCTGGGGATAAATGACACCGGCTTTTAACTTAGTTTTATTCTTACTGAGAATAAGCGTCGGATGACACCTCATTTGTTGAAATCTTATATCCCATTTAAAAGTTATTTCAAAACCAAGATTTTTCTACCGAAATGAAAATGTTTGTCCCTTTGCTTGTGGGCTTGTATGAATCCCTTTTCGATTTTAGGGTTTGCGAACCTTAATGGTGTATAAAGTAGCTCGACTACAACTTTTGGAAAACGCCGATAGTTTAGCGGGAAATCCAAAAAAAAAAATCGGATTGGAAAAGTTTTTATTTAAACCACTTTATGACTATTTTCTCAAAATTGTTTCGAATGATGTCATTTTAAATTTTAAATCTTATAGCTCAACTTTTAATATATAAGACTTTTTGTCAGCAAAATTACGGTTTAGAAGATATTGAGCGATACAAAACGCCACTTTTTTCAGTTCAGCATTTCATTGCTTACTTGAATACCCACAACTATGCAACAGTAATTTGATGAGAATAATTTCTTATAAGACATTTTTTTTAATTAAAAGAAGTTTGTCATCGACTAAAACTTTTTGTAATAAATAATTTATTAAAAGCACGAAAAATTTGATGTAATTCTATTACCATATATGAGTAATACAAAAAAGTGAATGGAACTCCCATTTTAAAGATGATTTTTAAAACAAGGAGACAAATTTCAGCAAGCCGAAGTTTCTTTAACCTGTCATGTCGATCCCGTGGGAGCTTTGAAGGTCAATAGCTTTCCGATTTTTAGAAAACTAAGAACAAATTACAGAAATTTTAAAATAACGTCCCTTTTCAATTTACAGCCGTATATGTTTGCCGAAAACGAAATATAATGGTCTTTGTATTACTTTGACATTAATTATCCGATCGTTCCTATGGCAGCTATATGATATTTTCGTCCGATTTTTTTTTAATTTTAGTCGAAATTCTTAAATATCAAAAGAATGGAATTCGCAAGTGTAGAAGTCAATATGTAAGAAAACTTATATTTAAAATTGTAATACATTAAAAAATTATATTTCCAAGAGTAGAAAAAACACCAACGTTATAACTATTTTACATTTATTAAAAAATAGTTTTTTTTATTATTCCTATCTAAGCAATAGAAATACGACTTATGGAAAGGTTTCACCCCGATTGCTTCAAAACTGAGAACCTTGATTGCGTAGAAACAGTCAGACTGAATAATAATAAATAATATTTCTGTAATTTTTTGTTTGCGTAAATAAATAAGTTAAATAAATAATGATTTAAATAGATATAAATTGGAAAAAATTAATCAAGCGGGTTACATAATTAAAAATTTGATGTCTCTTTTTTTAAACTTTTAGCTTGCTAATATTTTGCCGCTCGCAGTTTTCGGTACGGGTAGTTGTTCTTTCTTTTTAATTTTTTGTTGGCAAATATATATTAAGCGTCGAATAAAAAACCAGTGGCCAGCCGGGGATGGTGGCCAATATTCTTGCTGAAAACTCGTTATTCTCCTTGTGGCTGGTCTTATATATATCTTGGACGTTGATGCACTATGGTCAGTACAAACAAGTGGCCCTTACGACACCAAGCAATGCTTGTTACGCGCGGAGCCCTAAACCGATTTGGGCAAGTAAACGAAATCGCGGACATGGAAAAAGACGACATAACAATAGACAGTTTAAAATACATGCTCACACAGAATGGCTAGTAACATAGAAATTTACAAATTATTGGAAGATAGAAAATACATAAGTTTATCATAATTAGTTGCATTAGGGCTATCAAACAGTAAGACGTGACACAGTGCATTATAGTCTTCACAAAGAACCCGAAAAGGGTCATGAAGGGCATAATTGGATCTACAAATTGGCAGGGACAACGGACGAAAACGACGAACTGTTCTACATGGTACATTCCAGTTGAGAGAACTAAGAAGGAAGGGAGAGTCGACATCAACATTAATTAATTTATGCAAAAACATAGATCCATGACACTTTCTACGATGGTTCAGGGTTGGTAAGTCCGGCAGGCGCAAACTCGCATGATAAGAGGGCAATCGACTTCCTGTGTCCCAGTTTAGACCTCTCAAAGCAAATAAAAGGAATTGGTTTTGAACGGACTCTAACATATTTTGGTAACAGCTAATTTGAGGTGACCATATACACGAGCAATATTGACGGACGAACAAGAGAAACATACAAAAGCTTTGTTGTGTATGGATCATCAAACTCCCTTGACCAGCGCTTCATAAACGCCAGGAGACTTCTGGCTTTGTTAGTTATAGTAGATATATGGTCTTTAAAGCTAAGTTTATGATCAAATTGAACGCCAAGATCCTGAACAGAAAAAATACGTTCAAGGGCGTTATTTCCGACAGAATAAGAATACAGAGATGGAGTACAACGATAAAAAGTTCATAAAGTTACATTTAGAATAGTTCAAATTCAACATGTTAATCATGCACCACGTATACAAACAATCAAGATCTAATTGAAGGTCATTATATGAATTAGGTAAACACATGGACAAACATAGCTTGACATCATCTGCATACATTAAAACAGTTGACGATTTTATGACATAAGGTAGATCATTAATCATTAAGCCAACAAGTAAAGGTCCCAGGTGGCTACCCTGTGGCACTCCAGAAGTAACATTAATTATTTTGGAAATTTTATTATTAAAACAGACCATTTGAGTTCTATTAGAAAGGTAGGAAAGTATCCACTCTAGTAGGTTGGGTGGAAAACCTAAAAAAGACAATTTATAAATAAGAATCCTATGGTTCACTAAATGAAAGGCTTTAGAGAAATCGGTATAAATCACATCAGTTTGATGATGTGTCAGAAAACCTCTAGTAAGTAAAGACGTAAATTTAAGTAGGTTTGTAGAAGTAGAGCGACATCTAGTGAAGCCATGCTGACAAGGTGAAATAATGGACGTGCAATGATGCTGCAACTGACAGGTAATAATTTTTTCAAAAAGTTTAGGAACAGAACTGAGTTTAGCAATACCGCGATAGTTTGAGATATCGGACTTGTTCCCTTTTTTAAACAATGGGATAATAAAGGATTCCTTACATATGGATGGAAATCTACATTGACTTAGGGACAGATTAAATATCAATGTTAAGGGAAGAGCAAGATAAGATGAACAATTCCTAAGTATACAACTTGGTATTCTATCAGGACCCGGTGAAAATGAGAGCCTGAGAGTATTAAGACTCTGAAGAGTCAAAGAGTTCAAATGAGGTAGTGGGTATGGATAATCTTTGTTAATGACATTATTGCATTTCGTATAAGTGGATTGAAAAAAGTCTGCGAATAAGTTGCAAATATCATTATCATCAGATGCTACATTATTATTGAGAAAGAGAGAGGGAGAGAAGCAGCTAGATTTTCGTTTAGAATTGACGAAAGAAAAGAAAAGCTTAGGATTACTTTTGAAATCACGCTTACAACGAGTCAGGTAATTTTTGTAACAATCAGAATTGTACTGGACAAATTCCACCTTAGCTGAACTATATTTGGTGAAGTCTGTCTGTAAGCCGGATATTTTGAACCGTTTAAATAGTCTGGTTTTTTTATTCTTCAGATAAGATAGTTGACGGGTAAACCATGGAGAGCTGTAAGAATTCTTCATGGAGGAAAGAGGGACATATTCATCAAATAGACGGGAAAGGATCTCATAAAAGTACCTAACTGCATCATCAACAGGAAGGTCAACCAGCTTACTGTCGATAAAGATTTCACTAGTCTGCCGTAATCAGTCCTCTTAAAACTCAAACTAGGCTGTACATTTTTTGCAGTCCTAGGATTATTAAAAAATCCATTAATACAGAGCTGAAGGGTAGGATGATAACAATCTTCAGGTAAAGATAGTGGCGAAATACGACTGACTTCAGCATCGCTACTATCAAAAACAAAGATTAAGTCAAGAAGACGACCAATATGATTGGGAATCCTGTTAACTTGCTGCAAAGATAGTTCAACAAGACCATCAATAAAATCATTTTGCATCCTAGGAATCATTGCCAATGAGTCCTTACTCTCCAACCAAGAGATATTGGGAAGATTAAAGTCACCAAGCACAATAAGTTGGTCAGTTTCAGTAAGCAACAAGGAGATAGAATGTATGGCGGACAGGTGCAATAGATAAACGTTAAATTCAGAGCCAGGAGATATATACGAGCAGGTTAAAAAAATGTTTCTTTTTGGGAAAGAGAATTTTACGGAAATAAATTCAATACCTGATGATTCAGAAATATCAACAAACTCAGAAGTTAAATTGGATTTGACTCCAATAAGAACGCCTCCTCCTCGACGGGTCTGACGATCCTTCCGATAAACAAAAAAGTTATTAGACAAAATCTCACTATCGTGTACGGGTGGGTTAAGCCAGGTCTCAGTGAGTACAATAACATTGGCCTCAAAAATTGAACTTTTTATATAAAGCGTAGAGAGTTTACTAAGAAGCCCCCGAACATTCTGATAGTGAATTAGGAAATTTAGTTTTTTGAATTTATATCAGAGCTGGGCGCCGACAAAGAAGTCATGGAAAGGGAGCTATTTTTTTTTATATACTCGTGGACAATTATATCAGCAGGCCAAAAATTGGGGCAAAGAAGTTTAGAGAACAGCCCATCCGGAACAAGTATTTTAAATGAAGAGTAATCTCTTATCTGTTTAAAATTAAATTTGGTGATGTCAATACCATTTTGATTGGGAAGGGAGAGGTTTGTGACAATATGATGCATAACGTCATTTACTGTTATTGCTTCATTCAACCTAGACACAAAAATAGATTTCCTAGGTATCATGACAGTGAGTGGTATCGGAGAAGAGAGAGCAGGGCTATGCGTGTTTTTCCTAGGGATCATGCTAGTAAGTGGGACAGGAGGAGGTGCAAGGGTATTACCTATAGGCAGTACAAGGTGCGGCAGAGCCCCGGAAGTGGCAACAGCCGGTGAACGGTTAGTAGGCCTTAATGACTCAGGCGAAACTACAGTCCCCGAATCTGGCAACGATTGCCCCGTGGGGTCATTCGTTGATGACTCGATCCCATTGGGATCATCCTCGTCGCGCGACACATAGCCTGCAGTGGGGCTGGGAAGAGAGAGGTTGGTCGAGAGATCTGGAACGTGTAAAGAGACATTAGGCAGTGTAGGACTACGATTTATAATTAATGAAGATTGACTTAGAAGAATCCGACCTTTAAAGTTGGAGTCGCAAACATTAAATCGACTTAATAAGTCCGTAAATCCAGCACGTAATGCCTGGAACTCCAACTCCGTTTGCCTCATAAATGCTCTTATATCGATTTTGATATGTAGGCATGTAGGGCACGTCCAGTCCAGGTTAGCATTAGATCTAGTGCGATCAGCAATTTGGGCAGCACTATGCCCAAAGTCTGCACATTTTGCGTGCGCAATGTTCTCACATAACCAGCAACTAACAATTGGCTGCCGAGAAGTGATTTTACCAACAAATTGGCAACCAACAACACAGCAGGCAGACATTGTTTACAAGTTGAGGTCAGTTAAATGTAGAATGTAGAAAAAGTAGAAAAAGTAGGAAGCTTTAGATGAGTGCCAACAAACAGCTGTGTGGCTTTGCAAAACGCAGAGGAAAAATAAGAAAAGAGAGCGATAAGACCAATTCAGCAAAGACCCGTTAACTCGAAAATGAGAGCCAGTGACTGACGTTGGGAGAATGTAGCAGAGCGAACGGTGCGAGAGAGCGCCAAAACAACAATGTAAATAAGAAACAACAACAATGCACAAAGCACCCGCGTCATTAACTATTATCCAATATAATAATAAAGATAATGGTTTTAACACAAATAACTAATTTGCATGCAAACGGCGGCCTCAACCGAGTTGAAAATGTTAACTTTGGGAATATATCAGATCGGTAATTTAGACACTAGGCGAATAAATGTAGGAGCAAATATAAAACGCGTACGTGATCAACAGAGACCGAATTCGAATGCCCTTATACAAATCATGTATTCCTGATCCAGACTTATTCTCTTCGGAATATTCTACAAGTATTTAAATTTTAACTACACTAACATCAACAATTATTTTTTTAGCATTCACTGAGTAGGAACTTGACTTATTTAATATTAATTTTTAGCCAACAGATCCGTCTGCGACCACTGATTTTCGCCCTTTAATTACCGTTTCTTGTTCAGATTTTCTAAGCCTCTCTTCGCCAAAAACCACTCCAATTTTTGGATTTAAATCTCGGTTCATTTGGGAGTTATCCGGTTTAAGGAACCAGTTCCATAATTTGAGTCAGCTGCCCGACTCCCTGGACTCACGAGTCGTCGATAGTCGCTTATCGAATTTATGCCTATCGTTATCTGGCCTAACATAAAAAACTTTTTCGAATTTGTAATTTGTGTATTCATTTGTAGTTTAGCACATAACAAGCACACTACGGTTTCGATGCTCGTCTCGGAACAGGAATGGAGGATGTGCGTGTGTTGCTGGTCGTACTGCTCAATGTAGGCAACCGCCCAAAACCGTGAATTTAATGCCTGGTGAGTGTGGTTCGCTAGCCTATTGTAGCACTATTGTTTAAGGTCCTTTGCATGCAAGTTTTCCGAAGCGTATAAAGAATTTCCCAACGCTTTTGTGACTCGACATTTAGTGTACTTTCTGCAAAACTTGCAATTCCTATTCTAGCTGAAGCCGCTTAGGACAAAGTTTCCCTTGTGTATCGAATTCCCGGTGAGTATCGAACCTCTCGGGCCTTTAAGTTGTAACGCTTCGCTGCTTTCTCGTAGGCCTGATGTATCCTTTCTTTTATTTTCTCTCTGTATAACTGTTGTAGAAAAGATCTGGGCAATTGGGCAATCTCAGCTTCATTCAGAGCATTCCACTTGCATGCCAGCGAGTAATCTACGCCATTCGTAAACATATGTTGTCGGAACATAACAAAGTTCGGCGAAGTTCCGGTGCTGTTATGGATGAATGACCTCTGCGACGCTTGTTTGTCCGCTAAATGTTCATCCCATCGCGTGTGGTCGTCCTGGATGTTCACTCGAATTGCTGCTAACACGGATTGGTTTACTCTCTCCGATGCATTATATTGTGGTGTCCGTATGGATTGTTTCCGGAACTCCAAATTGAGTGAAGCCACACAAACTTGGTTAGGTGATCCAACGCGATGAATAACATTGTATTTCCTCGACGAGACCGCGGATACTTTCCTAGGAAATCCAGGTACAACTTTTGAATGGGTCGATCTGCCCAAAAGGAGGTTCCCCATCACTGCTCGCTTTAGCTGCGTTGTGTGTCTCGGACTTGAACTACCATTTTGGACTGGTAATACATATGCTGGAGTCTTGCTAAGGTCTTTGCCATACCCACGTGCACTGCTATTAAAATGTGTCTTCTTTAATAGAAGTCCTTCTTCCACACGTAAGTCCGGAAACCTATCTGTTCCATGCTCTTCAATCAATTGTAGTCTTTCCAGGTATTCATTCTCAAACTCCGTTGTCTCAAAATTGAAGAGCTTTACTTCGGCGGCTTCATTCGGCCAGGATAGCATGTCGGCCACAATGTTGTCTTTCCCTTTCCGATGCTCTATGTTGAAGTGTAATGCTGACGACCCCCGCGCCAGTCTCCCGTTCAAATCCTTGAGCGTCATAAGCCATTGCAGGCTTGCGTGAGTTACCGATCACGCAAGCCTGCAATGGAATACGATGCATACACACATACATATCTATACAGCAACAGTGTTTTTTTTTTTGTGTAACGTAATTTTTGTGTTATGTTTTTGTGAACCGCCATCCAATATTGCACGTATATATATATATATAAACCAATTGTAACATCTCCCAAATATTTTTTGAATACATATATATAATTAAATGTCTGTACCATACGTGTATTATAAAAAAAAACTTTATTTAATTTACTCTTACACTGGTTACAATATTTTGGGTTGGAAGAACACCGACTTGCTGTTGACAAATCTCAAACTGAACTCTCTGTCTAACTCCTACTTCATTTACGATCATACCTCGGTTTTGAGCTTTAGAGCTTTTTGTGAGTGGAACTTATTGCTATTGAGTGACTTTCTGAATTTGGACTTTGGACTCCAGAAATCTGAGTCCCGAAATCTGAGTATCCTGAATTGTGGGAATGTGCCGATATTCTGAACAGCGGCTCGTTCTAATTGTTTAGTCTATAAACTGTGCTTTTTTCTTTCATGGTAATTTTCCTCTGGCTTGCTTATAGTTCGGTAATTATACCCGTTACTCGTAGAGTAAAAGGGTATACTAGATTCGTCGGAAAGTATGTAACAGGCAGAAGGAAGCGTTTCCGACCCCATAAAGTATATATATTCTTGATCAGGATCACTAGCCGAGTCGATCTAGCCATGTCCGTCTGTCCGTCTGACCGTCTGTCCATCTGTCTGTCCGTCCGGATGAACGCTGAGATCTCGGAAACTATAAGAGCTAGGCTATTGAAATTTGGCGTGCAGATTCCTGAGCTTCTTACGCAGCGCAAGTTTGTTTCAGTAGAGTGCCACGCCCACTCTAACGCCCACAAGCCGCCCAAGACTGTGGCTCCTACAGTTTTGGTGCTAGAATAAAAATTTTAACTGAAATGTATTGTTCTCATCCATACCTATCGATTGACCCAAAAAAAGTATCCCACGCCTACTTTAATGCCCAAAAACCGCCCAAACCTGTGACGCCCAGAAATTTCATGCTAGATAAACAATTTTAACTGAAATGTATTGGTCTCGTCAATACCTATCGATTGATCTAAAAAAACTTTGCCACGCCCACTCTAACGCCCATAACGCTTAAATCTGTCTACCGCCGGTAGATGGCGCTCGCTTTGCTGCTTGCATATCTCCATTTCCCTTTGGTCCCTTTAGCTGAGTAACGGGTATCTGATAGTCGAGGTACTCGACTATATCGTTCTTCCTTGTTTTCCATTGGCTTGTTGACAATTAAATTTGGGTTCTTATTTCTTAGAGGGTGTCTCGAGGGTGACAGCGTAAAGTGAGCATGCATGTGTAGGTGTGTGGACATGTACACAGGAGTATGTGGTACTATGGGTATGTCACTCCCCCATCCCTTGAATTTGGCCTATCCTCAACGGATAGTCTTGGGTATAACGTTACATTTTCTTCTATGTTAATCTGATTGGGTAGATCGTTTAAAATTTCTGTGCCCTTTGGTGTTTCTTCCTTTGATTTTACATATTTTATAATAAGTTTTCTTGGGATGCTCTTGAACTTATACCATAAATACAATAGAATGCTTACAATAATTGTTTGGTCATCTCACTGTTTGTTTTGTTTTCTATGGTCGTTGCGATGCCGACTGTCGAAAGCTGCGAGCAGGGGCGTAGCACAGCTGATAATCGCTAATAAATTACCCCCTACAAGTCGGCAAGCAACGATCATACAACAAAATACCAGATTAAAAAACCAATGTAATAGGGAAGATCTGAAACAAGCGAGTTGGTAACATTGTTGAATAGAAAAAGCTCTTGAAATAAACGCACAATTTACATAGATGACGGCTAAGCAATGTTTTAAATAAAACCAGTGGATTCGCGAAGTTGCATATTTACTCCTGCTTCCTGAGCAAACATTGGCGCCCCCGGGTGGACTCACTGGTTCTTGGCCGCATTCTCGTCGGCACCCATAGAGAGGTGCAATAGAACGTCGTCTTTCGTCGCTGGAGCACCCGGAGAGGGGTGAGCCCCATACATCATCGTAGAGGGAGCGCACATCGGCTGCGTCCCTAACCTCCATTTCGTCACAGGAGAGCATCAGCGGGCTTCAACCTAACCTCGTCGGAAACACCGAGAAGTACAGCGATCCGTATTGTATATGGTAAAGTGGCCTACGTAAATATATGCAAACTTTATTTCCATCACTTGCACAAACACATATCATAATTCACTTGGCTTTCAGTCACATACACACACAAAGGCCCACCCAACATATACACACACACACATTCGGTCTTGCTTAATCTGCCTGGCCCCAATCTTCGCGCGCTCTTTGGTTGTGTCGGTCTTTTCGCCTTCCTTGCTCCAATCGCGCATAGCCTGGCTGAGGATTTAGTACGGTGGGACAGTGCAGACATTCGATCGCTACCAGCAGCATTGCATTGGCATTTGCTTGTTAGAAACAATCTAAAAACGGGAAGTTGCTAGTCACAATGGGTGGAAGTCGGAAACGTTTTGGCAGAACTCCCTCAGCGGAGGACGACACAAACGAATTGCTGGAACAGCTTGAGCGGAATAAGAATCATATAATTAGAATTGAGGCCACAGTTCGTGGTCAAGTAACTCCCCCTAATGCGTGCGAAATGGAATGTGGTTTAGGTATTTTAAATGGATACATCGAAAAGGCGTTCGAGTTGCAACAACAATTAGAAGCAATTAATAACGAATTAGCATGTAGAGAGGAGTTAGAAGAATTATGTGTATCCGCAAAGGCATTATTAATGTCAAATTGTAACCGGCCCGAAGGAGAAAGAAATCATTCTACCTTCGCAAATAACAGTAGTTTAAACTCTTCAGCAAGTCACAGCAGAATACTACCACAAATGAAACTCCCAAAATTCGACGGCAACTATGCCGAGTTCAAAAATTTTATAGGTTTATTTAACAGCTTAGTTCACGATGACGAATCTCTATCAAATGTTGAAAAGTTTAATCATCTGTTATCCTGTTTAGAGAAGGAAGCCTTAGGAACAGTAAAGGCTTACCAGATCACAGAAGCAAATTACGCAAAGGCCCATGCGGCCTTGGTCAGGGTTTATGAAAATCCGTGCCTAATATACTTTAAAAGTATTTCTCGATTGTTTGAAATCCCAACAATGCAAGCGCCATCCGCCTCGGCGTTGCGATCCCTTATCGACACTGTAACTGCTATATATGAATCTCTTCTCTCGCTCGGCAACGAGAAAACTCTCGCCAACGCAATGATAATTCACATCGTCATGTCTAGAGTAGATCCCAAAACGCGGTCGCGATGGGAAGAGCACCTTAGTTACGATTCTATTCCGTTATGGAAAGATTGCTCAGAGGCGCTTAATAAACGATACCAACACTTAGCGGCTGAGGAATCCACGACAGGCAGAAAAGCTCCCAAACAGGGACAGCTAGGGAACAAGCCCAGATATAGCAAAGCGGCATTAGCAGTTTCCCGACATGTCGAAGAACTTAAGTCTAAATGTTGCTTCTGCAAGTCAGACAGCCATTTCATTCAGAGTTGTACATCTTACGCTAATATCTCGGTAGAAGCTCGGTTCAAGTTCGCAAAGAATGCACCACTTTGCATCAATTGTCTACGCAGAGGACATAGTGTCGCAACATGCCAGTCATCTCGTTGTCGAATTTGTACGAAGGCTCATCACACACTTCTGCATCGGTATACCTCAACCTCCCAAGTACCGTCGAGCAATCAATTGTCATCGCCTATTGACAATCAGGTAGCCCAACAGTCACTAAGTGCCTCGATTAGTCAGCCTATGCCGCAAAAGGTAGATCACGTCTTACTTGCAACGGCCCTTGTCGAGGTTCAAAGTCAGTCAGGAGCCAAGCTGTGCGCTAGGATTTTGCTAGACTCAGGGTCACAGGTTAATTTTATAACGGAGGAATTAGTAAATAATCTGCAATTAAAACGATACCGGCATGAGGCTAAATTCTCAGGCATTGGGAATTCCGCGTGTTCAGCTAGCTTCGCAGTCCAGACGACAATTGGGTCGCGATTAAACTCCTTCGAAGCGGCAGTTGAATGCATAATTTTACCGTCAATCTCAGGGTATCGTCCAGAAGCAACCGCAATATCTTCCGATTGGATTCGTAATGATATCTCCTTAGCAGACCCTTACTTTTACAAGCCCAAACGCGTCGACATGCTGATCGGCGCTGAGTTGTTTTTCGACCTGCTTAGGGAAGGACAAATACGGTACAAGCACTCAGGTCCAACTCTACAAAATACTGTCTTTGGCTGGGTAGCGTCAGGGCCCTACAAAGAAAATCCGCCCGCACGATGTATCTCATACTCCACTCTAGTAGCTACTGAGGACAACAATTTGGATCACACGCTAAGGAAGTTCTGGGAAATTGAAAGAATACCCGATTTAACAAAATCGCAGCTCTATACCCCTGATCAAGTGTTGAGTGAAAAATCGTTTGCTAGCACCGTCTCGCGTGACTCTACAGGAAAATTTGTAGTTAGCCTGCCTTTCAAATCGAGTCCTTCGTGTCTCGGTTCCTCGTATGAAACTGCACGACGTCGGTTTTTGTCCTTAGAACGGCGTATGAAAGGGAACCCAACAAATCATTCGTTGTATATCTAGTTTATGAAGGAATACTTAGCTCTCGGTCACATGGAGGCTACAGATAATAGGATACCCAACGAGCCTCATTATTTTATACCGCATCAGTGCGTTCTCCGACCTGAAAGCTCTTCAACTAAATTAAGAGTCGTATTCGACGCGTCATGCAAAACCACTTCCCAAATTTCATTGAATGAAATTCTCTTGGTAGGGCCAACAATTCAGCCTTGCCTGTATGCCACGCTGCTTAAATTCCGATTCCATAAATTTGCTATGTCGGCAGACATTACTAAAATGTACAGACAAGTGGTATTAGATGAGACCCATAGAAAGTTTCAGTTAATTGTATGGCGTGAGAACCCGCAAGACCCTCTACAAATTTATCGGCTTAACACCGTTACGTATGGTACGGCAAGTGCTCCTTTCCTTGCAATACGGTGTTTGAAGCAGCTTAGCGAGATCTACTCCGAATCTCTTCCCTTAGCTTCACAGGCTCTAGCCAATGATTTTTACGTCGATGACTTGTTAACAGGGGCCGATTCCATTCGTGAGTTAAGGAAATTGCGAGGGGAAATCACAGAGATTTTAGATTCCGCAGGGTTCGTCTTGGCTAAGTGGGCGTCGAATTGTACCCCCAACGAACGACAGGTCGCCGAGCCAGAAGTCCTTATTGGAGAAGACGCCGATACGAAAACTTTGGGTCTCACTTGGAGTCCAAAACAGGATACGTTCAAATTCAACGCCCAGAATCTACAGCTTGAAGACCCACCCACAAAGCGATCCATGCTTTCATTTGCAGCACGGCTGTTCGATCCGTTAGGACTCATTTGCCCTATCGTTACCCTTGCAAAGATATTTATTCAAAAACTCTGGTCGCTACAAATTGGATGGGACGACGAAATACCCGCCGACGTACTGCATCATTGGAAGACGGTGTCATCTTGCTTTACAGATTTAGAAACGTTAAACATCCCTCGGCATGTCGGAACTCAGTTTGGCGGCACTTATCAAATCCACGGATTTGCGGACGCGTCAACAGATGCTTACGGTTGTTGTCTGTACGTAAGGTCAGTGACCTCAGAGGGAATAAAAGTTAGGTTGCTAACAGCCAAATCCAGGGTAGCACCGATCAATAGACTTAGTATTCCACGACTAGAACTCTGTGCGGCTCACCTCTTAGCGAAGTTATGGAGTTATGTGCAAACTCTTAATCTTTACCGCGTCGAGCAGGTTACTATGTGGTCGGATTCTGAAGTTGTTCTCTTCTGGTTGCGCACTCATCTGTCAAAACTTAAAACATTCGTCGCAAATAGGGTTTCGGCTATTCACGAACTGGCTCCAACTGCAGTCTGGCGACACGTCCCGACTAACTTCAATCCAGCGGACCTACCCTCTCGAGGGACTACGGTCAAGGATCTCGATACGACGCTATGGTTTGAAGGCCCTTCGTTTTTGTCCATGGACTCGACTCATTGGCCAGTTAATCAGCACTTGGCTGACACGCCCCTCGAAAGCCAACTCGAAATGAAACCGCCAGTAATCGCCCATACGGTTGCTGTCGTCTCAAATCATCCGCTGCTACAATTAGTTGAAAATTCTTCTTCCTATGTGAAGGTTGTGAGAATTACAACATTTATCTTTCGTTTTGTTTACGGCAGGGCCTGGAAATTGTGGAACGACCACGTCCTATCAGCCACCGAGCTTAGTTTTTCGTTCTCTTATATCGCGCAGGCTGTTCAGCGTGAATCGTTTGCAGACGAATTCAATAAATTAAAGAAAAATTTGCCATTACCCAGTTCTTACCAAAAACTTAGCCCATTTATCAGCAACGAAACTTTCGGAACCCGTACTTTAACATTGGTGCGGGTGGGCGGTCGACTAGCGCACGCGGATCTAGAACCCAGTGCCAAATTCCCAATATTAATGCCTAAAGGGAATCGTTTTGTCAAATTGTACATCGAGCACCTGCACTATGCTAATTGCCATGCAGGACCACGAGCCCTAGTCGGCCTGCTTCGGCAGACAATTTGGTTGATCAATGCACGACGCGAGTGCAGTGCTGTTGTGCGCCGATGCACGCACTGTTTCCGGTATAAGCCACGGTTAATGTCGCAAATAATGGGAAACCTGCCTCTTGACCGTGTCAGAATCAGTCGACCCTTTAGAATAAGCGGAGTCGATCTCTTCGGTCCAATCCGAGTGTCGCTAGGAGTGCGGGGCAAGGCAGCGTTAAAAATGTATGTCGCAGTATTCATATGTTTTTCAACGAAAGCGGTTCACCTAGAACTATTGAAGGATCTCACTTCTAACTCATTTATCCTCTGTCTCAGCAGATTTGTTGGGCGGCGCGGCCCGCTCGATCGACTGTACTGCGACAATGCAACCAATTTTGTTGGTTCCTCACGGCTGCTTCAGGAGATGGCCTCCGATGTCCGCAGCACACTGGGAACGTACGGCGTCCATCACCAGGTTGAGTTCGTCTTCATTCCGCCCCTTTCGCCTCATTTCGGGGGCCTATGGGAGGCCGCCGTCAAGTCCGCCAAACACCTCTTTTTGAGGGCCGTCGGACACGCCTTGCTGAAGGAGGACGAAGTCCAGACGATCCTGGTTGAAGTGGAAGCAGTGCTTAACTCGCGTCCGCTAGTAGCTGACAGCAGCAACCCTAACGACGGAGAGGCTATTACTCCAGCCCACATTCTGGTAGGCACCACGCTCGCTGCTCTACCCCCAGGATCGGCACCTCCTCATCCGGACGACGACCTAACTCATCTACAACGCTGGCAGCTTATATCAGCCATCAAGCGACGGTTTTGGCGAGACTGGTCCCGTGACTACATAGCTGGGCTGCAGCAAAGAGTTAAGTGGACAAAGGAATCGGCCAACCTTCTACCAGGAACCATCGTCGTCATCAAAGAGGACAATTTACCGCCCCAGAAGTGGCTGCTCGGCAGAGTCACCGAAGTAACGCACGGATCGGATGGCAAGGTGCGCGTTGCTCTAGTAAAAACCAAGCAAGGCGTATACAAACGCTCAGTACATCATCTGGCACCTCTTCCCATTAATTGAAGGCCTACAGCGCTTCAACGCGGGCGATGTTTGGTCATCTCACTGTTTGTTTTGTTTTCTATGGTCGTTGCGATGCCGACTGTCGAAAGCTGCGAGCAGGGGCGTAGCACAGCTGATAATCGCTAATAAATTACCCCCTACAAGTCGGCAAGCAACGATCATACAACAAAATACCAGATTAAAAAACTACTAGATTACCATAAAATACTAACTCTAGATACCAATGTAATAGGGAAGATCTGAAACAAGCGAGTTGGTAACATTGTTGAATAGAAAAAGCTCTTGAAATAAACGCACAATTTACATAGATGACGGCTAAGCAATGTTTTAAATAAAACCAGTGGATTCGCGAAGTTGCATATTTACTCCTGCTTCCTGAGCAAAGGTTGTTAAAGTAATTATTTGAAATACATTATAAGATGTTGTATGTGATTCTAATATTTCTTTTGTTTGAATATAAGACAATGGCTCTAGGTTAGGTTAAGTTAGGGCGGCTGTCGGACTATAGTCCGACACACTTAGACCTCAATGGGTCCGTTGTGGTACCGCATGATCTCGTTTTTTTTTCTCTAGGGTCCCGTTTCTAGTAGTTTCAGCCTGTGTTAAGCTGATCAGCATGTCTTCCACCCGGAAGATTTAATAAAGGCACTTATGCTTTTGAGATTAATCTCCGATATTTCGGTAAGATCGTCGATGAAGGGGCTTCCTAAGTGTTTCAGTCTGAGTCTGCATAGGGCTGGGCAAAAGCAGAGAAGGTGTTCTACCGTTTCCACTTCTTCCTCATCCCTACAGCTTCTGCAGAAATCATTTTGCGGGGCTTTCAGCCTACCGGATCAACATGCCACACTCTGTGCGGCTGAGTTTGAGTAACTCCGAGGTTTTTTTGTTGTTTATCACAGGCCATGTCTGGTGAGAGATGCGACACTGTGGTGCGTTTTGCCAATGGGTGTTGGCTAGTGTGTTGAAGTGGTTTTTTATGTTTAGCTTGCAAGTAGCCATGGGCATACCAGATCGCATTCTGCGCTTCATTCGGGGTGGTTCGAAGGGCTCCACTAATACACAAAGCCGCCATTCGCTGTACTTTGTTTAGAGGAGTCAGTATGCATTGTTTGTGCAAGGCGGTCCACCACAGAGCCGCTCCGTACAGTAGGATTGGCTTGACTACCGCTGTGTATATCCAGTTAACTATTCTTGGGGACATGTCCCATCTTAGCCCGATTGCTTTTTTACAGGAGTAAAGTGCAATGGTCGCTTTTTTGGTTCTGTCTCTTGGGCTCCACTAATACACAAAGCCGCCATTCGCTGTACTTTGTTTAGAGGAGTCAGTATGCATTGTTTGTGAAAGGCGGTCCACCACAGAGCCACTCCGTACAGTAGGATTGGCTTGACTACCGCTGTGTATATCCAGTTAACTATTCTTGGGGACATGCCCCATCTTAGCCCGATTGCTTTTTTACAGGAGTAAAGTGCAATGGTCGCTTTTTTGGTTCTCTCTCTTGGTTGTTTAAGCCCCATTCGAGGCGTTTATCTAGTACTAACCCCAAGTACCTGGCGTGATCGCTAAAGGAGAGATTACAATTGTTTAAAATGGGTGGGTTAAGTTGTGGAATTTTGTACCTATTTGTAAATAGAACAAGTTCTGTTTTCGAGGGATTTACCCCGAGTCCGCTCGCTATCCTCCATTCCGATAGCATTTTAAGTTTAGCGGTCATAAGATCGCAAAGTGCTTGTGGATATTTTCCATTAAGGATGATGGCGACGTCGTCTGCGTATGCCACGAGACAATGGCTCTAATTTTGTTATATTATTATTTATGTAAACACTCTGTGTGTAATCTAACATTGAATTTGAAAGAGTGAATTCATCTAATTGTATTGAACAATTAAGAATTTTAACGAGGGTTCTTTAGACTATAGAAATTTCTTTATTAACGAAATTTTGATTCAGCAATGTTTTAAGGATATTCCATGTCAATTAAATATTGGGTTCAACATAATTAATTTGGAAATTTTTATAAGTTTTAGTATATTTGCATTCAGTATTTTCCTGCCTTCCATTTTATTTTATTATTCCATTTATACAATCATCAATTAGAATTTTCCCAGTTTCTTTATTAAATATTTTATCTTCATAGAGGAAATATTTATCAAGTATATTTTCTGTTAGAATGTTGTTATCTTCATCGGGATAAGGAATAATTTCAAAAACGGGAGTTTTGACTATCTCTGAAGAAATGTGGGAAATAATCAAAATTTCATTTGTGTCTGCTTTAAGCCAACTGGAAGTTTTGATTTTCAACAATTTCTCAGGGTTCATATTTTTTAAATAATCGTGTCTTAATAGTTTTGGATTAAATAGTCCCAATCTTGTCACTTGCATTCCTAGTCCGATATCTTCTACATATTCCGTAAAGTGTTGTAAGTTAAGTATTTAAACGTTAACTTGTTGATCTCTTTCTCCTTTTTCTTTTAATTTGTTAATTATTTCGATTCCGTTATTTATGACGTCGATAATCATAATTAAATCAGTGTTTTGAAAGCTAGTATCTTCCAAATTATTGATTTTCTGTTCCATCTCATCTTTGTCATCTTGATCTAAAGTTCCGAATAGATATTTGTAAGCTGTCCCTACGATATTGAATAGACCTCTCTTACTACGTTTTGCTATTGTCCCTATTTCTCCATTGATTTCTCTTTTAATTTTTTCTACTAAATATCTGATTTGGATAACATCATTAAATTCATCGACTTTTTTCCAAATGTTTGCTCGGTTTTTGTTATATTTACGCTTAAGTAATGGTATTCATAATTAGTTGGGATTTCGATTGATCCTGTTTGAAATACAAGATATCTATTTTGTGCCTTTATGGGATTTATTTCAATACTTTGTCCAATTGTCAATTGAATTACAGTTGCTAATATTATAGAGAAAATTATTGTTTTCACTGAGTGGTTCCTGAGTCCGTTCATTTCCTTCTGCTTGCCTGGAATTATCATCATATTTACTTTTACTAATTTTATTTTTTCATTTCTTGTGTGTCATAATCAGGAGTTCCTGCATACATAAATACGTCAGCTGGTATTTGATTTGTAGCATTATGTTTTGTTTTGAGATTGTAAATGTAAAGAATTAGTTCGAACTTAGTATATCTGTTTTCAATGTCTGATTCGCTTCCTATAATTCTTAATTTTTCATTTACTGTTCTATCAAATCTTTCTATGTCCGAAATACCGTTTTTACTTGTTGTTACTTGAATTTGTACTCCTTCCGAATTTAACAATTGTATTTAACATAAATGCTGAATATTTGTCTGCTTTGATTTCTTGTGGTTTTCCCATTTCATTGTGCTTACGTCAAAAGGGCGTTTAATTTCAGGAGGCAGTGTCGAGCGGCAGTTTTATCCAGATGTCTACATCTCGCGCGCTCGCACTGCCGCTCTCCCTCTCCATCTCTCCCCTAAGTCTCCGCTCTGCTCTGGAGCGCTTAAGTTAAGTTAAGCTTAAGTAGTGCTCTTTTCCCAGTGATCCAATAAACATCTACGCACGTCGCGTAAAAAACCAAAGAACTCCCGTTTTTTTTGCGTACCATTCGATCTTGGGGCTTCATCTATTTTCAGCGATCCAAAAGTGATTAATCCGACACAACGGCATTGAATATATGTATTACCATTCCGTTATTTGTACCCGACTATATTTCAGTTTCCTTTGCCCACAATTGTACACTTGAAACAATTCCAGTATATATTTCAGTGCTACTATTCAACTAAAACAGTTCTCAAATACATTTTCAATTTTAATTGTGTGTAACATATAACTCAGCCACAGTAAAAAATTCCCGGTCATAAAACTTTTCCTTAAGATTTGCACTCTTTATTTTTACTGTGTTTCATCTGCGTGTGTATATTTACATAAATATTCTAATACAGTCCACTCTAACTACTCCTTCTAATACAGTCAACTCAAACTACTTTTCTCGACATACAAATACGGCTAAATTATTTCTAAAATTAAAAAGAATGTTACAACATCCACAAATTTACTCCAGCAAATCGTTTGCAATTTAGTTGTGCAGGTGACAAACAAACGCACCGACATACAAACATAAGCGAAATTTTTACAATACCCGCAACGTTATTCCGCTCTTCGCACCTCACATATGTACATATGTACAGTGTACATACATACGTATATCGATATTTTCGCCAGTGCACAGTGGGTCAAGAGCTCACAAAAACGGCATCAACTCCACATAAGGACGGAATCTTTCCACGGCCTTTACTGCTGCGTGGCACTCTTTTTCCCTTACGCTGTAATTGAGTTGTGCTCCTCTCAGCTTCGCCGAAAATAATGCTATTGGTCGGTCCGATCCTTCTACGTCTTGCTGGTACAACGCTGCCCCAATTCCTACATGGCTGGCGTGTATCCAGAAGTATTTCCCAAAGCTGCGTAGTTGTCGCGTATACTTGGGCACTTCTATCTTCATAATGGTTTCAACTTTTTTCGGATCTGTCCGCAAGGCCCCGTCACCGATGATGTATGTCAAATTTCGCAAGTAGGTTAGGTTAGGTTAGGGCGGCTGTCGGACTGTAGTCCGAAACACTTAGACCTCTATGGGTCCATTGTGATACCGCATGATCTCGTTCTTTTCCTTCTCTAGGGTCCCATAACTTATATGTTTCAACCTGTGTTTAGCTGATCAGCATGTCTTGCACCCGGAAGATTTAAGAAAAGCACTAACCTTTTTTCAAATTAATCCCCGGTATTTCGGTAAGATCGTCGATGAAGGGGTTTCCTAGGTGTTTCATTCTTAGTCTGCATAGGGCTGGACAGAAGCAGCGAAGGTGTTTTACCGTTTCTTCTTCTTCATCCCGGCAGCTTCTACAGAAGTCATTTTTTGGGGCTTTTAGCCTGCCGGCATGTGTGCCAACGAGCCAGTGGCCTGTAAGAGCTCGAATCAGCATGCCACACTCTGTGCGGCTGAGTTTGAGTAGTTCCAAGGTTTTTTATTGTTTATCACAGGCCATGTCTGGTGAGACATCCGACACTGTGGTGCGTTTTGCCAATGGGTGTTGTCTAGTTTGTTAAAATAGCTTTTTATATATAGCTTGCAAGTTGCCATGGGCATACCGACATTCCTCTATCTGGAATCAGGGCCTCAAAGGGTGTGTGACTATATTCAATAAATTTGCATAGATCCGTTATCTTCGGAATCGATTTATTATGCTGGAGAATTTAACCATGGCCATAAAATTGGGCTTTCCACTGCCCGGTGTCCCTCAGTCAAATAGCTGTCGATTTGGCCCTTTCCATGCC